AAAAATAAAGTATAAATGTATAATATACGGTAAGACACAAAATACCACTGATTCTAATTCTGAGATATTTTTGCTGAATACAGATTTCCTTCGTCGGTTGTTAGCTCGTCATATGTTGTATTATGTATGTATATTAAACAGTACAGGCATAGTCAGAAATATTCTGTATATATAGTAGGGCATATAAATAATGAGCAGGACTAAAATAAGCATAGCATAAAATAAAAGAAACCAAAATTCATGCCTTATTTTCGTGACTTCCATCTCACATACATCAACCTCTACTGATTTGCGGTTTACTCCAGCCCGGAAATACCATGATTTACTGGACCAATATTAAATTTATCCCTACTACCTAAACCTCAGCATTGATGCCTGTGTGTTTACGCTTTACGCAGTAGCTTTCATGCAGGAGGAGGTTTGAGCAGTAATGCGTTAAAAACTGCATATATCTGTTTTGGGAAGATCGGACTGAATTACAAATATAGACAGTAACGTATGTGCCAAAAGACTCCATACCATCATAAGCAAAATATAGTAATAAAGTAAAAAGTTAAACAGGCTAAAGGTATAAAGTACAAAGCAAAATTGAAATTTATAAATATATAATTTTGAGCACAATACTAAATTTTTCGACTAATGACTCACGTGAAGCATAAATGCAAATCTAACAGTCTGTTATGAAATCTAATGTGAGTATAGCATTAGGAAAGTACAAGTCACCACAAAAACTACAGCGACGTCAGTCCTCACCAGGCTTTACATAACAACCGATATGATAGCATGGACAGGTACGAAGCACTGCCAATCGCACGTAGTTAAAGATATGCAAGTGCAGCAATTCTCAAGCATTTTTAGAGGAATGTCTCAGGACCGCCACTATATATATATAAGGTACGTAGCACTCGTTTACAAAAAAATCGCGAATACTTCTATATATAAGAAAAGCAAGGGGAAAATGATCAGAAATATTTGAAAAAAGATTGGGATAATGTGATTCATGGTAAAGGTGAACAACCCGCTAAGCGATGATTGCTTCCTATCATTTAACATCACGTTACCTGATTCATTTGAGACATGTCCTGCGAATATATCGAAGGGTACACTGTACTCAACGGGAGCTGGCCGGAAGCAACTGAAGAAATCAAAATTAATTAAAGAAATTTTAACTAAATTATAACTGAACCGGGTGGAGGCGGATTCTGAAACATCTGCAGTAACTTCTGAACTCCGTGCACCAAAGATGTTTCTAAGAAAGAAATCAGTGATGAAGGGCATTGTCACTTAAAGAGGACCAACTTACCCTTTGGAGCCGAGGCGGTTTCAGATGCAGACGTGTCGTCAGGACGTTGAAACGAAGCCACGCTAGAGCTGGGTTTACCCTAAATGAAAATAATACAATGGAAGGCAAAAAATGGCTAGAATTAACGCATCTGTTTAGTTTACCAGGTAGTGAAGTTCTTAACTATTGAGGTACAGACTTTTGTTTACCAATGCTTAAAATACGGCACTGATTGGTGTTTCGATGTTCTAGACTTTCATGAAAATCATAAATGTAACATATGTAACTATGGAAGAAACATTTAGTTAAACATCAGTACTAATCCCAAACAGTAGTGACAAATAGTTACGAAATAGCGGTTTATTTAATTACAGATTATCTTCTGAACCGACGATGAAAAACCATGAGCAAGAAAGGCGAAACTTAATAGCCGATGTCAGGTAAGAGAAGACACAATCTACTTCGTGAATTGGATAGATCAAATGTTGAATTCCAGCTTAATAATGCTGTTTGAATTTGTATATCATGGCTGCGTTTTTCTAGATAGACGATATTTTCCATGCATTTACAAAAGAGGCTATTGCAGCATGTAGCCACTTGCCTCGTCGCATTTCCTAGCAGACGCAAACAGGTCTCAGAAAGAGGAGAGGAGAGCAACTCGATCTGGATATGAATGCGCGGATACCTTAATAACGGGCCAGGCATGGCTCAATAGGTCGGTAATTTCTGTAATAAAATCTATATGAACAGCAATTGCATAAGAACCATGGAATCCATCTCTCGCAAAATGAACTGTGTTCAGTTTTCAATTCAATTACAAAAAAAAACATTCAGCAGGAAAACAGAGCTCATTATCGAAAAAGAACTAAAAGAACAAAGGCAGCTACACCGGGTTAATCGCAGCTCACCTCATCACTGCTCTCAACATCTTACTCCAAATTCAACAGTGGTTGCGCAATGCCTCAATCTGAATTTAAAAAATTTAAATAAACCGATATTTGAAAATTTTCATCTACAAACAGTACTTACATCCTTTATACAAAAGCGTCATTGGAAATACACCTAACAATAAAATTTTTACTGTTAAAAAATAATCGTCGGCCCTAATGAAAACTTGAATTTATGGTTCACACATTCACATTGTGCGGACATCTAGTCGCTATCACGCTTACCGGTTCACCACAGACGATCTTAGAGTTTTTTATTCTTTACATTAACTTTAAAATAAATATGCTTCATTATTTACAATGTGGGATGGAGCAGCATTTCAGCACATAACAAGTTTGTTTAGTCCGTAGAACGTCGGGCCTAAAATCCAGAGGTTCCTGACTCAAGCCCTGACCATCAGGTCACTCGCTGTTCTTCCCTCCGAGGTTCATAAATGAGTAACACAGAGGGAAGGAACCCCGAGATACACCCTGTGCTTGTACTACAGCTATTGTGAACTCTGTGTTAAAAATAAGGCATTACTAGCTAATGGCAAGAAAATAGATATCACCTCACCATCATTAATTTCATCAAGAAAACGGGCACTAGAGATGGGCCCTTCATGAAAGTTCAAGGAAGACCGACATTCCGACGACTACAGATTTTCCTTTCCTTTACAAGGCAATAACAATTGTTTTTTTTGAAATTTCGATAAAAAGTAAATTCGTCTCATGGTTCGAGAGTAGGGATGGAACAGTACCGTAACAAATACGATTAGCATCGATGAATGTAGGCATACCAGCGGATCGTACGGTTTCGTACCGTAGCTGACGTTTGAATCGTACATGGAAGGTAGCGCAAAACTACGACCACCTTCCTCATCCCTGTAGCGCGACATTGCAAGACGTTCCTGCCGCGCCGCCTCCAGACGGTCCAGTTCTTCCTGACGACGTCGAAGCTCTATGAAAAAAAAGGTAAACCGCCACAAATTCAATCAAGAGAATAGACGTCTACCTTCTCGCAGAAGCATCGCCTGATAGTCCTGATAGGCGATATCCATGTCGTTCTCGAGACGCTGCCTCGCCTCCTTGAACTCCTGTTCCAACTGTTCACGCTTGATACGTTCCATCTGGTACAGCTCCTTCCATCGAGTTCCGAATTCATACTCGAAACTACCGTGCGAAGCAAACCGGGGAGGCTGGCTTCTTTCCCTGAAATTACTTTCACATAAGATACTAGCGTTCCAACTCAAGTACGGCCAAAACAGTCGTACCTTAGACATATCGGGTTTCTGCTTAGCATTCGCTCTGAGAGACCGTCTTCCTCATCCCTCGGTTCGAGATGTTCGACATACACCGGTTTCGGATTTCTACAGTAACATTCATACGGTTAGCCCGCTTTTGATCACAATTTTTAAAAAGTATTACGATGTCATTAGAAAGATGCCATCGTTGATCCGCCGCAGCGCGTCCAAAGCGCCAGGCTTACGCTCAAATTCGACGATGCCTTCGCCAGTGGGTCTTCCCCTTTCATCCACGATGTGTACAGCCCTCTCGACGTCCCCGAATATCGAAAAGGCCTAGAGAAAGAGAAACCATGGGTTAAATAAAACAGAGGGTAAAGATTCGAGTTCAGAATTCAGTTTTACACTACCTGATATAATAGTTCATTGGAAACAGATGGGGATAACTCCTTGACACGGATCGCGGCGCCGTGGGTGGCGAAGCGCACGCGTAACGCCCTGCCCTTCAACCCGAAACCGTCCAAAAGTTCCTTCGCCACTTCGGCGTTCGCTCGGGTGTCCATACGAATGAACGCGAATCCCTTACCGGAGAGGAAACACTCGGCCACTTCGCCGTATTGAGTGAATAAATCTCGCAACTCGTCCTCTTTCAACTCATTCGGCAGATTTCCAACAAACAAACGACATCTGCCGGTAAACTTTTTCTTTGTCGGCTCCGGCATGGAGAACTCTTCGACGTTGGGCGCCTCCGTTTTTCTGTACTTTCCGCGATGACCAGGTGACCTATAAGAAAGAAAACGTTATTAAAAGCCATTATAAACCAAATGGGGCCAAACACGTTAAGCTACAAGTGAGTCGAGGGATGCCTCTTTTGCTCAGTAAACAACGAGATGAGTCGTCTTAAAAACGTCCAGCAGCCACTACAGTGACATGCACATTTAT